GAGCAAGATGGAATTTGGCCCACACCTGATGTTGTTGGCTCTTAACCTCCCTGGAGATATTCCCGAGTGTAGCTCAGGGTAAGATTTCAGCACCACAAGTGGTAACCCCGAGCTACACTCAGGAATACCCTACAGCATTGCTCCGGGATCCCTCGATCACCTACCTTGTCCTTCGCTCCCGTGATGTCCCCCCTTCAGCGTCCCCGTCCATCTCCTCCAGCCGATGCAGGAGATGGAGAACAAGATGGAATTTGGCTCACATCTGATGTTGATGGAGCTGAATGATCTTTAGCAATAGGAGATGGAGGGCAAGATGGAATTTGGCCCACACCCGATGTTGTTGGAGCTCAAAGATCATCAGCAATAGGAGATGGAGGGCAAGATGGAATTTTGCCCATACTTGATGTTGTTGGAGCTGAAGGATCATCAACAATAGGAGATGGAGGGCAAGATGGAATTTGACTTATACCTGAATATGATGGAGCTGAAGGATCATCAACAAAAGGAGCTAGAGGGCAAGATGGAATTTCACTCACACCTGATGTTGATGGAGCTTAAGGATCATCAGCAATAGGAGATGGAGGGCAAGATGGAATTTGGCCCACATCTGATGTTGATGGAGCTAAAGTATCTTTAGCAATAGGAGATGGAGGGCAAGATGGAATTTGGCCCACACCTGATGTTGTTGGAGCTTAAGGATCATCAGCATTAGGAGATGGAGGGCAAGATGGCATTTGGCCCACACCTGATGCTGATGAAGCTTAAGGATCATCAGCAATAGAAGATGGAGAGCAAGATGGAATTTGGCCCACACCTGATGTTGTTGGCTCTTAACCTCCCTGGAGATATTCCCGAGTGTAGCTCAGGGTAAGATTTCAGCACCACAAGCGGTAACCCCGAGCTACACTCAGGAATACCCTACAGCGTTGCTCCGGGATCCCTCGATCACCTACCTTGTCCTTCGCTCCTGTGATGTCCCCCCTTCAGCGTCCCCGTCCATCTCCTCCAGCCGATGCAGGAGATGGAGAACAAGATGGAATTTGGCTCACATCTGATGTTGATGGAGCTGAATGATCTTTAGCAATAGGAGATGGAGGGCAAGATGGAATTTGGCCCACACCTGATGTTGTTGGAGCTTAAGGATCATCAGCATTAGGAGATGGAAGGCAAGATGGCATTTGGCCCACACCTGATGTTGATGAAGCTTAAGGATCATCAGCAATAGAAGATGCAGAGCAAGATGGAATTTGGCCCACACCTGATGTTATCGGAGCTGAAGGATCATCAACAATAGGAGATGGAGGGCAAGATGGAATTTGGCTCATACCTGAATATGATGGAGCTGAAGGATCATCAACAAAAGGAGCTAGAGGGCAAGATGGAATTTCACTCACACCTGATGTTGATGAAGCTTAAGGATCATCAGCAATAGAAGATGGAGAGCAAGATGGAATTTGGCCCACACCTGATGTTATCGGAGCATAAGGATCATCAACAATAGGAGATGGAGGGCAAGATGGAATTTAGCTCATACCTGAATATGATGGAGCTGAAGTATCATCAACAAAAGGAGCTAGAGGGCAAGATGGAATTTCCCTCACACCTGATGTTGATGGAGCTTAAGGATCATCAGCAATAGGAGATGGAGGGCAAGATGGAATTTGGCCCACACCTGGTGTTGTTGGAACTTAAGGATCATCAGCAATAGGAGATGGAGGGCAAGATGGAATTTGGCCCACACCTGATGTTGTTGGAGCTTAAGGATCATCAGCATTAGGAGATGGAGGGCAAGATGGCATTTGTCCCACACCTGATGTTGATGAAGCTTAAGGATCATCAGCAATAGAAGATGGAGAGCAAGATGGAATTTGGCCCACAACTGATGTTATTGGAGCTGAAGGATCATCAAAAATAGGAGATGGAGGGCAAGATGGAATTTCACTCACACCTGGTGTTGATGGTTTTTTGATGGATTCAATTCTGTCTACCCTCTGGAAAAAATGATCCAGTGATGTCTGAGTAGTAGCGCTTTTTTTCTCTTCATAGATGACTCTGTAGCACTGGATGGCATTCTGAACGGCTGCTGCAAACTTTCTGTATCGTTCTACATTGGGGTCCTATGCCTCAAAAACTAACAGCACCTCTTCAAATAAAGAAAATCCCCTTGCCATTTTCTGCGTTGTGAATCTCTTTGGTTCTTCAGTTACATCTTCCTCTTGGCTCTCTTCGTCTTTTCGCTGGGCCTCTAATTCCATCAGATCCTCATTAGTAAGCTCCTCATGGTGCACAGCAAGGAGTTCATTGAAGTCATCCTCTTGAAGATCTAGCTCCAGTTTCGTGCTAAGGATCACTAAGTTGTTGAAGACCTCTTTGGACTACTTACCCATCTTCTCAAGTCCATGAACTTCGTGAACAAACTGCAGGCAAAGGTTCTTCCCAACCCAATGCATGGTGACAGCTGAAACATCACGCCAAGCAAAGTTGACGTTTTTTATGGCCTTGTAGATGTTATAGTACTTCCAAAATTGTCACAAGGTTGTTCCTGTTTCATCAATAGCCTTCACTGCCTGATGAAAAGTGTGACTTAAATAATATTTCTTGAAAGTCGCAATAACTCCTTGGTCCATAGGTTGGATGAGCGTCATAGTATTCGGTGGCAGATGCACTACTTTGATGTTGGGATGAAAGTCATCCATGAATTGGGGGTGACCTGGTGCATTGTCAAGCAGCAAAAGAATGTTAAATGGGATATCTTTCTCCAAACAATATTTCTCTATCTCTGGGATAAAGTGGTGGAAAAACCATTCCTGGAAAATGGCCTGTGTAGCCCAATCTTTGGAGTTACTCTTGCACACAACAGGGAGAGAGCCCATGGCTATGTTTTTGTGGGCTCGTGGGTTCTCTGAATGGTAAACTAAGAGAGGCTTTAGTTGCATATCACCGGAAGCATTGCCACCAAAGTAAGTCTGTTCTTTGCTGCTTTGAAGCCTGGCATCACCTTTTCCTCTATACCGATGTAACTTTGTTCTGGCATCCTCTTCCAGTACAGTCCTGTCTCATTGACGTTAAAAACCTGTTGGGGTAAATAAGCGCCTTCATCAATAATTTCTCTAAGTGTTGCTGGAAATTCTTGGGCATACCATAGCTGTATCTGCACTCGCAGCCTCACCACTTACTTTTATGTTGTGAAGGTTGGCTCTAGCCTTGAATCTGTTAAACCAGGGCCTAAAATTTTGAGTCTAGACCTACTAGCCAGGCACAAACCTTACTCTCCACCAGTTGCCCCACCCAACCTTGCCCAGGTCTGCCTCCAGCCCCACCCCCGGACCATCCCCCAATCCAACCCCCAGCCCTGCCCCCAACCACACCCCCTTAAAGATTATGAAATTACATTTTTTTTTAGAATAAAGAGTCCAAAATATAAAACTGTACACAGTAATGTATATGCCAGCTCCCCTGTACTCCATTATAGTGATATGACATGTATACAGTATGTATATCCCAGCTCCACTACACTCCATTATAGTGATATGACATGTATACAGTAATGTATATCCCAGCTCCCCTGTACTCCATTATAATGATATGACATGTATACAGTAATCAGTACAGTAATCAATACTGTATACATGTCATCACTATAATGGAGTACAGGGGAGCTAAGATATACATTACTGTATACATGTCATATCACTATAATGTAGTACAGGGGTGCTGGGATATACATTACTAAGTAATGTATATCGCAGCTCCCCTGTACTCCATTATAGTGATAAGACATGTATATAGTACTTACTGCTAGTCCCTCCGAGTCCCCTGCAGTGGTGGGGAGGGTGTCTCCTCTCAGCGGAGGAGAGCGGACCTCTCCTGCACCTGTCCCCTCAGCGGCGGTGCCGCAGAAACCGAAAGTTGTAAACCGGAACTCGGCTTCACAATGAGGCTTGGAGCGCAGGTGCAGTCGCTCCATGCTTCATCTGTGCTCGCTGCTCGCCACAGAGGAATTTCTTCTCGCATTTGGCAAGCGGACAAGCGGCTTTTTCAAGCCCTGTGTTAAACCATCCATGGCTGGCAGTAAAACATGCACATTGTTCACCCTGTTTGTTCTTTAAGTCTTAAAATAGGCTTTTAGCTTTTTCTTGAGTAAGCATTAAACTGAGTGGGACTCGACGCTGATGCTGGTCCTGCATCCACACTCTGAGAAGTTTCTCCATCTCCTCTATCACTTTACCACGCTTATTGTTGACTTCATAGGCACAGCAGAATTCACATGTTCCATGATCTTGGCCTTGTTCTTTAGAATTGTGCCAGTGGTTGAACGATTCATGTTATAAGAACAAGTGATGTCTACCATCTTTTTGCCTCAATTATTTTTGTTTACATGATTATTGCTTTCTGCTTCCTAGCGGTCTCTTCCACATCACCACTGCTTTTCCCCTTGCTTCTGGACATCCTGGGCTCTGTACAGTACGCCATTACACTGTACAGTAAGCACACAGCAGCACAACTGTGCCGATGTGCAGTTGTGATAATATCCAGCAGATACGTGAGCTACTTCCACGATTTGTTCACATCTACGAATTTTCGTAATGCGAGGTCCGTTCATATCTGTGACAGTTTGCAACTCGAATATTCGTAAGTTGGGGACTTACTTTTAAGTATATTGTACTATATATAGTATATTTGTACCTTACAGTACTTTCAATTTTAGTTTGTAGCAAAAAACCATAGCACTGTAGGTATTAAGGCCTAAAATGTAAGTCCATAAAGTTCATCCTATTTTTTTAAACCTCAGTACTGCTAATCCAAAGGAATCCAAAAGAAAACACAATTGGAAAAAAGTCCCTAATCCTTTCAGTGGCCAATGGATAAATTCCCAGGTTCAGTTCTAAAAATGGTATACACTATATAGCCAAAAGTATTGGGATGCCCCTTCAAATGATTGGATTCAGGTGTTCCAATCACCTCCATGGCCACATGTATATAAAATAAAGCACCTAGGCATGCAGACTGCTTCTACAAATATTTGTGAAAGAATAGGTCGCTCTCAGGAGCTCAGTGAATTCAAGTGTGGTACCGTGACAGGTTGCCACCTGTGCAATAAGTCCATCTGTGAAATTTTCTTGCTACTAAATATCCCACAGTCAACTGTTTACTGGTATTATTACAAAGTGGAAGCAACTGGGAACAACAGCAACTCTGCCACGAAGTGGTAGGCCATGTAAAACAACAGAGCTGGGTCAGTGCATGCTGAAGCGCACAGTGTGCAGAAATTGCCAACTGTCTGCAGAGTCAATAGCTAAAGACCTCCAAACTTCATGTGGCCTTCAGATTAGCACAACAGTGCATAGACAGCTTCATGGAATGGGTTTTCATGGCTGAGCAGCTACATCCAGGCCTTACATCACCAAGTGCAATGCAAAACATGGGATGCAGTAGTGTAAAGCACACCACTACTGAATTCCAGAGCAGAGGAGACATGTTCTCTGGAGTGACGAATTACGCTTCTCTGTCTAGCAATCAGATTGATGTGTCTGGGTTTGGTGGTTTCCAGGAGAATGGTACTTGCCTGACTACATTGTGCCAAGTGTAAAGTTTGGTGGAGGGGGGAATATGGTGTTGGTTGTTTTTCAGGGGTTGGGCTTTGCCCCTTAGTTCCAGTGAAAGGAACTCTTAAGGCATCATTCTAAAAGATTTTGCACAATTTCTTGCTATCAACTGTGAGGGAACAGTTTGGGGATGGCCCCTTTCTGTTCCAACATGACTGCGCACCAGTGCACAAAGCAAGGTCTATAAAGATATGGACAAAAGAGTTTGGAATGGAGGAACTTGACTGGCCTGCACCAAGTTCTGACCTAAACCTGATAGAACACCTTTGGGATGAATTAGAGCAGAGCCAGGCCTTCTAGTCTGACATCAGTGCCTCACCTCCCAAATGCACTTCTGGAAGAGCGGTAAAACATTCTCATATACACACTCCTTGTGGACAGCCTTCCTAGAAGAGCTGAATCTGTTATAGCTGCAAAGGGTGGGCCAACTCAATTCTGAACCCTATGGACTTAGACTAGAATGCCATTAAAGTTAATGTAAGAGTAAAGGCAGGCATCCCAATACTTTTAGCAATATAGTGTATATGCCACTGGAATTTTCATAAAACCATGTCATTTGTATATGATAATTGGGTATAGTTTAGCCATGTTATATGTTGCTTTACACACACACACACACACACACACAAACACTAATATGTGTCCAGCTATACATTCCAGAATCTTGCATCATAGCAATCTCAAGGCAACACCCAATACTAAGCCATTTCTCATTTTTTCCAAGACTGTATTGGCTAATTTTCATTTTGCACACTGGATACATTACCATATTAAAAGATCACACATCTCATCCATTCAATTATTTGATATCAATTATTGTCTCCAGCTGAAAGTATTTTACTAGCTGTAATAGAAAATGAGCATATTGGTTCAGAGTGAAATGACCTGTTATGGCAAAGGAAGAAAGTCTTTGTTAGGGCGTTAGTGCTTGGCTAATTTATGTAAAACTATTGAAAGTTTCGAACCATTTTTAAGCGTCTCTAAATAAATAATGGCATGCAATAGTACTAACAGAACAACAAAATAAAGCAACCAATAATTTTTGACTTTTGATTACAAAAGGAAAATAAGGTGCTTCACATATACCAAATAACAGTGCACAAAATGTTCAAATGTTCCATGAGTGTTTCAGAACAATAGACATCATCCATTAAAGTGAAGCTCCACCCAAAAGGGTAAGTTCCACTTTAAGTACTGGTTCCCCGCTCCCCGTGACACATTGGCACCATTGGGCAGTAGGGTGGGAGACAGTACCTGATTTTGGCAGGTGCTGTTCCCACTTCCACTCTGACCGCCTAAGCGATCAGAAGCAGAAGTTCTCCTTGCTCCCCCCCGCAGTCTTCTGGGACACATGACAGGTCCCAGAAGACTGCTTGACCATTTACAGTGTGCAGAGCTACTCGCAAATGTGCAGTGTGCACCCGACTGTGAAGCTGCATTGTGCCCACAATTAAAATGCCAGTTCCAGGGAAAGAGGAAGGCCACTGAACCTAGCTGGGGTGAGGACACCATCATGTGACAGGTGAGTGGCTATTTTTTAAAAGTCAGCAGCTACAGTTTTCGTAGTTACCATTCGCTTGGATTTGCACATTTACAAATGCACAGCAACCTGCAAGAAATTGCAGTCGCATTTCTGTTACCATTTAGGCTGCATTCAAATCTGGGCGGGAGGAGAGGTGAAGGAAAAAAAAAAAACACAGATCCATCAAAGTTGTATAGGAATGCCTCTTATCAGCAAAGTTGTTTTAAAATTGCTTTGCACTCCTACCATGTAGCAGGGAAGTGGTGCAGCAAAATGGCCTGGAAGTTGCGGCAACTTTCATGTTGTGCTAGTGTGAACCAGTTCTTCGGCTCAGGAATTTTTACAGGGAACTTACTACCAGAAAAGTACTGAAAATGATTTATTGCATTGCCCCCACAGTCTATATACACTTTATATTGTTATGCAATGAGACTGCAAAAAACAACAATTTCTGTGTCCCTGAAAGGAAAGCTTTTTAAGTGTCCATTCACACCAGCCACCAGCTTTATCCTGCAGTGTCTCGTGTGCGGTGCATATCCAGTTGGATTCACCACATTGCACCGCACTGTTCTTTTTTTTTTTTAAAACAAACTTTATTGAAATTTCACACAGACATTTCATTCATTTCAATTGGCCACCGTGCGGTACCTCGCGCGCTGCGGTGCATTGAAGAAAGTAGTGCACGCGGTACTCTTTTTTCAGCTCACCGTGTCTACACACCACCGCAGTGCAGTGGTGTAAATCGGGCATACAGGAGTCAAGGCATTTTGCCTTGTCATGCAGTGGGACTGTGCTGGAGCACAGTCCTACCACATCTGGTGTAAATGGACCCTCAATATATTTAAAAGACAGAAACAATTTAACAGCTGGAATGTTGAATTTTTCTTTTTTTTAAAAACACATAATTGAAATCTGTGTTATTCAATCTATTTACCGTCAAGGCACAATTTAAAATGAAGCCCAATCTCAAAGCACCCCATTCTAAAATGTAAAAAAAACGAAACACAGCATCATCCACACACATAGGACACCCAATGCTAGAGGTGATTTATTCACCAAAGGCAAATACACCTTTCTACATGTGTACTGATTACTATCCCAATTTTTCTCTTCCCCCTCAGTTTTTCTCCCTTACACAGCTATGACCCCAATGCTGATGAGAGGGTCAGGGAAGGGTCAAACAAGGATACTGTGCAGGCGCCTGACATCCCCCTTATCAACCGATAAGGTCAATGATGTCTTTATAAGTCCATTGTCAATCACAATGTCTGCCGCCTACTCGCCAAAAAAACCCAAAAACTGACGATTTGACGAATGGGACCTTTTCCAACTATAACACTAGCCAAATGACAGCCCCCAGAGCTTTCATCAGCAATATAAAGTAAGAAGAGAGAATAACGGTAACATCATTGCCCATGAATGGCCATTGCACAAGTATTCATTCCCTACCTATTTGCTTACATGGCTGGCGGATTCCTGGCCATGTAAGTGAATGAGAGGGGTGATGTTAGTGAATGGTAGAGACACCGGCTGCAACAGCCACTGTTTTCTTAGCAACTATTGACATCATTGCCCAAATATGGCCATTTTTAGGCAGTGATGTAACACTCCATTCCCCACCCATTTGCCTTCATAGCCATTCCCGGCCATGAAGGTGATTAGGCAGGGTGATGTCAGCGGTTGGCAAAGATGAGGTGCCTACAAGCAGCGGTTAATTCCTCAGCAGCCATTGACAGCGAGAAGCTGCCACTTTCATCCACACCACTCACATTCGGACTGAACACTGAGCTCATCCCTAGTCAGTAGTACAGTGGTATCATTGACGTAATAAACAACAACCTTGAATAATGCAAAGAAGAGATTTAGTTATTCACTTTCCGGAAAAATTTCTATGTCTATGAAACCAGAAATTTAAAAGAAAAAATAGGCCAATAAATCTGGCCTATCATTAAATGTTCACCTAGGATCTGGCTCCATTTCTAGCCTTACGGCACTCCCGAGGTATTCTCATTGTGTTCAAATTGTAACCTAAAATGTAATGTGAAATGTGGACAGTCCAAAACATAAAAAAAATCAGCTGGAATATGGACCTTTAAAAGTCAGAGCTGGAACTAACACATTAAATGGAATATCTAGGTTTTATCCTAGACACAACCCAGGTGAAAGTTTTTTTTTTTCCTCGAAAAAAACAACAACAAACAGCTGACTCACTATTCCCAGACATGAACAGTCAGGAGCCGTCCAACTCTGTGGTTTTGCATGAGAGTTCGGGGCTTGATGATAGCCTCCTTCAACAGAGTCCAATTTGCCCATAAAATGGATTAACTGTTTGTTGTGTCTGGATAGCCACCAGACTACAATCATTTGTTCAAAATCTGTTAGCAAAGACTAATGTGTCAATGAAATAATCACTTTACAAGAAAAAGCTACTTTTTAATCCACAAAAATGCTTAAATGGCAAGAAGGTACATAATTTTCTATCTCTGTTCCTATTACTTCCAGGGATGCCCTTACTTGACCTTAAAGCTGACTTTTCTTCATACGACCATGACCATGTCTTTTTGAACCAAGCAGTAGTAGCTAAATTAGCAGTTAAATATCAACAACATGCTGCCGTACATGGCTGTAAGGCAAAAACATCTCTATTTATTATGGCTAGGACTTTTCATTCGGGTTTTTTCTATCTTGTTTCCTCTACAAAAAAGCTATATCATTCTCTTCTGAAAAGATTACGAGGGGTGTTCAAGTCAAACCAGAACCTTTGCGTTTATTTAATAAAAGAAAAAAATTTCAAGGCGTGGAAACTGCATTTTTTTTTTTTGACCTATTCCCCTGCTACGTTTATATACTTATCCCAGCATTTACCTAATACCTGGAAATCTTCTACATAGAAAGATTTTGTCAGTACGCCTGAACCATCCTGGGACAGTTTGTTTCACTTTGTGAATGATTGTGTTCATCGTTCCCACTGAAAGATTTGTCTCTTGTGCAATTTCTTGACAGGTTATGCGTTTGTAAGCCGTGTACCGGGGTGGGCTCCCCAGGATACAGTGAAATCACGAACGAGGAAAGCAACCCCAACACCAGCTTTTGCCACAACAGAATTTTACTTAGATGTGGCAAATAAACACAACACAAATGCTGGGAACATACAATAAATTTATATACACCCAGCCCAAAGGCTGAGACCCTTGTGCTGCACAGCACGGCGCCTCCTGATGAGGAAGGTAGAAGGTGTAGTAATTTACCTA